AACGCCTGGCTCTCGTAGGCGGGAGGGGAGTAGACGGGAGGGGGCTCCTCGTCCGAGCTGTCCGGCTCCAGGGTCCGCTCCAAGATCTGCAGGGCGAGAGGATGGGGTGAGGGCGAGCCGGGGAAACGCTCCCCGCCGGGCCGGGCCCCCACACGTGGCAGCAAGGCGGGGACGGGTCCAGCTGAATGCCGCTGCGGAGAGGATGGGGGCAACCTCCCGGCACCGGTCCCCCTGCACTGGGGGGCTTTTCGTGGGGTTCAGAGGTGCTGTTCTCGAGGGATGAGACACCGCATTTTGGGTGGGCGGGTGAGCCTGTCCTTGGGTGCACACAGCCCTTGGGAGCCTTCTGACAGGAGCAGAAGGGTCTCTGTTGGGTTTTGGGGTGGTAAAGGAGCAGAGCACAGGGCTGTTCCACTCCAGCGGGTGGCAAACTCTAACACTTCTACAATGGCTTTCCAGTGCCCACAATTACTTTACAACACGAAGTATAGATCTTCAGCTTCAACGAACTGCATGTATTTAATTAGTCAATGACAACCACGTTGTTCCCAGAAACATGATCACCCAGGTTATCCTGATACTCTCAGACTCACTATGGACTCACAAATCTGGAAAATATTTTCTGTCTTACGTTTTGTTTGTACAAATTAAAGGGATGCTTGAGATCTGGATTGTGCAGTTACATGGGCAAAAGTTGTTTTGAGCTAATATTTTTAAAAGTAGAGTGAAATACAGGCTAGTGGCATCCATAACTCCTAGGGGACCACAACGAAACAACTCAAAAAAGAGCTGAAAATGCACATCCGTCCTAGTTCACAGCCAATTTCCTACTCCAGTCTTGGGCTTGTCTTGCAGATTATGTCAAAGCATGTAGTGGTTTTAAAAGCAGAACAAGTGGGATGGCACAGTTCTTCTCTTCCCACACAAGTGTTTATCCTGGCTCCAAAATATGCTTCCCTGACTATTTCCTTTCCAAAAATATTCCCAAAACTTGTAGTGCTAACTCCAGAAAAGCTGTCTGGGATCCCAGCTCTCTCCTGCCCAGCCTTGCTGCCAGACAAAGAGAGAAATGTAAGTGGGGGGAAAAAAAGAGGCAAATTTGGATGATTCCCCGCGGCCGGTGGCACCGCGTGTCAGCCCCCAGCACGCTGCAGCATCCTCCCACCTGCGGAGGGGAGAAAGTCACCCGTGGGACAGAGCACCCAGAGGTACCAAGAGATCCCCATCTCAGCGGGGGACATTCGATTCAATTCGACCCATCCAACCGCGTCCCCGTGGGACCAGCCCGTCCCCGCAGCGGGGCCGACACGCCAGAGCTCGGATGTGCCGGGCCAGGTGCTGTACGAACAAAATGCAAGGTGAGAAAAATGGCATTACTTCCACCGCAGAGGGCTCCCCAGATTTAACATTTCCACATCTGACATGTATTTATAAACACAGTAAAATCTCTCTTCAAAATAAAAAATTGAGTCGGCTCAGAGAGTTTCAGAGCAAGGGGCTAAAATACTTTGCAGCACGGCAAATCGACCCTTGGGAAAAGCCACCAAATCCAAGATTAACATTCACTTTAAAACCATAAACAGATTATACAGCTACTGCGTCTCATTTGGAAATGCAGGGCCAAATTCAGTTCTGGATTAACGCCACTGTTGAAACAGAATTACCCCAGGAACACTTTTGATCCATAATATCATTTTCAAAGGCTTTTTCCTAAGCGGCAGGCAGAGAGTTCAAGATAACTGTCCCTAAAATGGTATTTAATTCAGAAGAACGTGCCAATCACATTTCTTAGCGAAACAGGGTATAATCAGATTCAAAGCCATTAAGCGGAGCAGTCACCTCTGAAGGTCACCCGGGCTCTCCCCTGCCCATAGCGAGGCCACGCGTGACAGCCGTGTCCCCAGCGCTCGCCCGGCCTCTCCCGCCGGCTCGCAGCCCTGAGCTGCTCCAAGGGGCTTCCAGGGGCTGCCGAGAGCGAAACCCACTTGCAAAACCTGGGAAACTTGGCCCGAACTCTGGGAGGAGGTTTAGTTTGGCAATGCTGGTTAACCCCTGTTTTCGTCCCCAGGGACAGCCCTGCTCTGGCTCAGTACCCAGAGGAATTGCTGATGCCTCCAGAGGACAGGGGGACAATTCCTGCTCCACAGGCACACTCCGCTCTCCCTCCCTGGTTTTTTTGTAATCCTGGATGCATTTGCATGCGTGGACGAGCCCCGTGAGCGAGCCTGAACGGCAGCCCCCTGCAAACACCGGCACCTGGCCAGACCCTGCACCCCGGCTCAGGGCAGCAGCCCCCGGGCTGAATATGGTGCCATGGGGCCCTCCAGCCGATGCTCCCAAGGGACACAGGGTGCCCGTGCTGCAAACAGACCTCTCCGTGCGGGAAAGGCAGCTGGAGACCCCAGGCACGCACCGACGGCCCCACAGGGATCCCACCCTCCCCATGGCATTTGCTCGCCACACGGGACAGGACCCATAGAAAAGCATCAGGATGTTCACTGCCAGGCTCGAGGGGCCATTTCCAAACAGCACCGGGAACCCCCAGCTCGCTCCCCGCTCGCTAACAAAATGCATTTAACAGATCACTCAGCCGAGAACCGTCTCCATCCCCGCAGTCGCTCTCTGTCCCCAGGATCTGCTCCTGCTTGCCAGGAGCCAGGCGCGGAGCAGTGTTGTGTGAGCGGAGAAGGAACAATTCTGACAGCCCTGCCCGGCTCTATTCACCGAGGACAAATAAATCTGCTGGAGTCAATTAATAAAATACTGCTTCTCGGTTCCTCCTCTGCTATCATGACTCATTCATAGCAAAAAGCCGGCTTTGTTCGCACCTCTGGTATTATACTTTAATTGCAATATTCCATGGCTGGTTTAGTCACATATTAAATTGAGTTATAACACATTCACAGGGTACGCACACTCCTTAAAAGATTTGGCTACTCCAAAAGGATGGAGAAAGAGCCTGGACATCAAGGGGAAAACAGGTTACATAGGGTACACTGCAAACACACACATTATCCAAATATGAAGATGAGAGCTTCTGCAGAGAACCATTAGCTCAGCAATGCCATGCTAGCCCATAAACCTCAAAGAGTAAAATCAGCCCCCAAAATCAGGAAATGGGCTTGGAAATTCCCAGATCTATTTAAAAATCCTAAGATCTATAAAGTAACAAGAAGAGCCTGTGGTTGGGGTCTCTGTCTCCCAGCGTTTGACCTTTGAGTGTATATTCAAGGTCTTCTCTGTAACCACGAAGGCTGGGAAATCCCATTTACCGGAGCCAAAGCCCCCAGCCCACCACGCACCAGGCGTTGGCAATCCCCCTGCAAACCCCTGCCCCGCCGGGGAGGGACCGGCTCCTCCTGATGCAGATGCCTCTGTTCTGGGGAAGGCATTACTCAACACGACACAAGAGTCTGGGACAACTCATTGAAATCGCAGCCCACGCTGGATAGCGTGATTGAGCGCAGCAACGCGCCGAGTAACTGAAAGTTTCTGGTCAGAAGGTGAACTAAATTAGGGATGGGGACAAGATACTTATACGCCAAAAAGGCTCTGCTGCACATCTGGCTTCAAACAACCCCGAGGGATCGCGTTGCTGGGACATTCCCAGCCCCTGGAATACGGCTGGAGGCTGCGGGGCTTGCAGGAGGCTGCGGTGAAGGGCGCGCTCGGCAAAACCGAGGTGCAGCCAGTGCCCCCGGCACAGACCAGGGCCACTCCGCATGCCCCTCGGGCAAACACCACTGCAGGCAGAGCTGACGGCGGTGAAACACTGCAAACGCAGGCTTTTAAGCCCATTTTTTAAAGGCCTGCTGCTAATCCAGAGAAATGCAAACCACTACACTGGCATGAGTTAAAATCCAGAGAAAAGCAAGTCACGACATCAGCAGGAGTTAATTTAAAAGATAATCCGGTAGTTGTATTTGCAGGATCCTCCCCAATTCCTGTTTGTCCACATCAACATCTTCAGGTGAGCGGTGGGGAGGGCAGCAGGACCCCCAGCTGCCAGCGTGGGGAAGGGGCTCAGCACGTTTCTGGCCCTTATTTCTGTGGTGTCAATGAGGGGCTGGGAAGACGCCAGGAAAAGCAAAATCCTTTGGATTTCCCAAAAAGGAAAGAAGAAAGCTGGTGTCCGACTGCCAGCCCAGGTGTGAGCATGGGCTCGCTCGGGGCATGGTGGGGTGCAGGCTGGGCTTCTCTTCGCCCCGTGCTCCCCGTTTGCAGAATTAGGCTGTGATGACTCATTTAGCTGTTGCCTGATCAACTTTCTTCCTGCCTTAAAATAGTTCTTGCTCTGCTATCACGCAAAAAGGATGCTGAATGCCGTTATTCATTCATCCAAGCCCAGGCACAGGCGTAATCCTTTGCCCTTCTGTTGAGCCCATCACAGGAGGAGCTTAAAGGCTCTGCAAGCTCTGGGTGCGCATGTCCCCGTCCCGTGGGTCACGGGGAGCAGCGAGGCGGCAGCAGGCACCCTGGTGGGGCCGGCACTGCCCCCGCGCCCCCCACCAGCCCCAGCAGCACGGGGTAAAACCTCCCATCCCAGCAGGGTCAGCAGCCGCAGGGCACGGGGCAGTACCTGGTCCTGGCTCGCCCTGGGGACACGGGGGGATGGCTGTCCTCGCTGACCTGCGCCGTGGAGAAAGTGCCAGGTGACATCCCAACGCTAGGCTGGGGGGCAGGCGCAGAGGCCGCGGCGGCCCTTCTGCTGTGCCGCTGTACCACCAAACCCACGGGAAAGGCTCCCGTCTTGCCACTTCCACACCAGCTTTCATCCGAGCGGCTCTGCGCTCCGGGGTGGGGGGCTAGCACGGAAAATGCCCACGCAGGTTTTGCCATCGCTGCCTAGCCAGGATGGCACGGGATGCTCTCCCGCACACGTCCACAGTTGCTTTCTCACTGCATGCTGCGCTCAGGCACCGGCACACCTTCAGGTCCAGCTCCTGCCGTTTGCTCACCACTTAAAAAACATAAAATAAGACCAAACAAAAGCTGACCTTCGGGGAGGAGGCCCACCCCTGAGAGCCCATGGGTGCACCCTGCCTTTTCTCCCGCCCGAGCTGCTAACGACTTGCACGATTCAGATCCACCCTCGCCTGAGCCAGAGCCAAGAACAAGACCTCGGCAGCCGCGGAGAAAGCCTTCATTACGCTCACTGGGGAGCAGATAAGGCGCGCACAGCCCAGGGGAGCACGTCCTCCTGTGCTGGCCAGCATCCTGCCTTTACAAAGCTGGTCCTCACCCAGCCCTGGGAGCGGGGCACTCGATACCTTGCAGAAATGGACTTTTCACATCGAGGGACGACCCGAGAGGCTGCGGGCGCTTCGGGTCAGCTCCAGCCGGGAGCAAGTACGGTGCAAGGCGCAGAGGAGGCTGCCTGCAGCTCGGCCATCAGCCATCCGGGAACGGCACAGACAAGCAGCTGGATAATCCTGGGGGTTGGTCAAACTGGTAATGTCATGCTGGAAACAACAGTTGCTCAGCTCTGTGAGGAGCACAGCCCGAACGGAGGAGCGAACAGCTGTAAAAGCACTGGGACTGATCGCTTGCAGCCCTCACAGCTCAGGAAAGAGCCTTGGCACCAAGCGCAAACACGAATATTCCCTTCCCCAGTGTCTGCTGCAGCTCAGACAACAGATGGGATTGCTCAAACACAGCTAAACCAGCCCAGCCCTTTTTCCCCTGCTATTGCCATGCTGCGTTTGTAGATCATCCCTGCAAACACATCGGAGCCACGACCCCCGTTCGCAGCCAGGACGGGGGTGACACCATCAAGTGCTTGCTCTCCCCAGCCCAGTGCTCCCCTGAGGGCATCCATCGCTCAGCAGCGGCTGCAAGCCCAGGCCTGTAATGACTCAGCTGGGGGATGCGGAGCAGAAGTGCAGAAGGCATTTCCATGCACAGGATTACCTGGAGACAAGGGCTGCCAGAGCCCCGGCTCCTGGAGGGAAGACTCTCGGAGGAAGTCTCAAAACTAGGGACGTTAAACCAGAAGCAACGGCTTCGGCCAGAGCAGATTTGCTGAGCTCTGCCTGCAGCCAGGGCCCTGCAAAGGGATTGCTCGATACAGGAATGAGAAGTCCGGGAACGTGACTGCTCGGCGGCTGCAGGTGTGATTATAATAGGATTGAAATTGGGATGAAAAGTAAAGGATCAGGAACAAAAATTACAATAGTGTCTACCAGCAAACTGAAAGGCAGAGCACACGCCGAGGATGCGCAGGATGGGGCCTTATCAGTCTCTCCAAAATCCCCTCCATCACCTTTCTGTCTGCCTCAGGGGATGTGCATACACAGCTCCCAGGCCCACAGCCTGGGAAGACTGCTTGCGAGCAAATCCTTTTTCATGGAAACAAATAAGGACCTGAAGATCCCCTTTAATACTAGTTCTACCACGTATTAAAATGGCTGGGTTTAAGCCCTTTTCAAAGTAAAAAGCAATCAGGGAGGAGAGCAGAAGTAAGCCCTGTTTGAGACCATGTGCAGCACGTACCTCTCTGCAAAATGGAATTCCCCTCTTGGCTCTGAGAGTAGCGTTCAAAGTCAGAGGAGCAGCCAAGAAGGGACCAGGGAGAGCCATGGAGCCGTTCTGGTCCCGATGCCGGGCATCATCAGCGTTACTGCTCAAGTGCTCTCACCTGACAGTTTTACTGGGGAGCCTGCGGCCAGACCAGCACTCTGAAATGCACGATAACCACATTTAAGAGAAGCAGCGGCGGCTGCTGCT